AGAGCTTTTTTCTATTTTTGCCACCACTCTCGCTCTAGACTGCCAAAAAGGTTTCTAAAAAAAAAATATGGAAATATAATCCGTGTCAGGATAAAAATGTTCTTCCCGGTTCCAAAATAATGCATTTTCACTTCATTTGCAGTTGTGTTGTTTCAAGTTAAAACTTCGAGTGCATTTTCTCAGTCAGTCCTGCATGTCTGACTATCATAATGCTGCGCGCATTCCTGCACTAGAGAGCAGGAGGATCTTCTGTCATCACTATTAGGCTACATCTTAAACGACCCTCATCACAGGCCTAAAGACTGCTCCCATGATCCCCCACAGTCCTCATGTGTATAAACAAACATAAACATTAAGGGCACAGCACCAGCTGCAGAAAGTAAAAATGTAAAAATGCTGGTAGCCTATGTCCACAAGCAAACACTATAAAGAACACCACTACAAGAGCTTTGGTTTTGAACTTCAGTGGATTTCAAAAATATTTTCTGTCCTGAAGGAAGTGGGCACAATTTCTGAAAATAAGGTCAAGTGACTTTGTCTGTCTTTATCTAAAACTGTGGCAGCATGCCACGAGAATGCCACTGACCTCGGGGTACATGTTGACTACATAGGGGAAAAAAGGAAATTAAATATATAGAGATATAGCCTACCCTAATAAAATCTTAAGGATGTATTGTATAGGGAAGCCTAACTCATGATGTCCGACATAACATAAATCAGTCGAAGCTTGTTTTGATACATTTTGCATACACTAGAAACAAGAAAATGCGTGAAAACAACCTTACACTTGCAAGTCACTAATGCTCTTGATCGGAAACAGGTACACTGATTTGAGACATTATCCGTGGAAGCTGAAGGCAGTCAGCGCCACCCTAAACACGCGCTTTCACTGGTTAAGAACGCGGAACAAATGGGCGGGCTTAGATCGCTCAGCACAGCGACCAATAGCGTTGCGCGAAGGCGATGACTGACGCGTCCATTCCCACCAATCAGCGCGATCCAAACCAGCGCGTGAACAACCCACCCAGCTGGGTATATATTCAGCGATGACAGCTCGCTAATCCACTGCGTTTGCTTCGACAGCCCAGCGCAAAGAGGAAATCTCGAAAACAAAAGCGACTCTTCCAACGAAACCGTTTCGTACAGAGGTGTCAACATGAAGGCAGTGAGCCCAGTCAGGTCTTTCAGGAAAAGCAGCGCGAATGTGACGGAGCACAGTCTGGGAATCTCACGGAGCAAGACCCCCGTGGACGATCCCCTAAGCCTGCTGTACAACATGAACGATTGCTACTCCAAACTGAAGGAGCTGGTGCCGAGTATCCCGCAAAACAAAAACGTGAGCAAAATGGAAATCCTGCAACATGTCATCGACTATATCCTGGACCTTCAGATCGCACTTGACTCAAATTCCGCAATCACCAGCCTACATCACCCCCGAGCGGGGCAGGGGACATCCAGAACACCCCTGACAACACTCAACACAGACATCAGCATCCTCTCATTACAGGTGAATGTCCTTAGATAGATACTATTCTATCTATATATCTATCTATCTATCTATTTATCTGTCTATCTATCTATCTAAATCATCTACTTCTCTTTGCATGTGAATTCATAAATGTGTTATGTAAAGCTACATCGATTTGTTGCATGTTTTTGTGCAAATAACCGGACTTGATAAAATACTTAATAAATAACTGTTTTTTTTTTTTTTTGTTCCTTTAGACACCTGAGTTTCAATCAGACTTGATCACAGAAGACAGCAGGACGCTTTACCGTTAATCAGGTAAATGCTCTTTTAATAAGCCTTGTATTATATGCTGTAAATGATGGCCAACAAAAAAAAAATAGTAATAAAAATTGTGTGCCGTCAGAGCAGTGTTTCATTTCAAGAGTGTCTAATCAACTGTGTTAAGGACCATTGTGTCACATAGTCTGTAAAGTAGTATAAAGTGTGTAATAAGCATCAGCGGAGGTTGAAATGCAAGCGTTGAGCGAAGGCAGAAGTTGTGCTCGTGTACATCTGGAGCCCAGGGTTTTGCTCAGTCTCTGAGTGTTTGGTTAAATGTTCAAACTGCGGCTTCCTCTCTGGCGCCAGGCTGTCCAGATCTCTGCCCTGTTTGCATTCTCTAAATGCGCCTCTTTCTCAATCTTTTGCAGGTGTTTGGTTAAGACACAAGAACACACAAGACCTGGGAACTGGCTTTTCCTCTGATTTCTGTTCTCAGTCTGGAGTTTTTTTTTTTGTTTGTTTGTTTTTCTTCTTCTTTCCTGTAATTGAATCAAGAGACTTTTTTGCTTCTAAAAGGACAATCCATGTGATGTGTTATAAGTTCGGACATTGATTATTTATCTTCTAAAAAGACCTATTTGGTCCTTTCTTCAAGAAAAGGAAGAAGCACTATATTCCCTGAAAATAGGAGGGAAACCTGTAAATGATCACAAGGAACCTTTTCTCTGCATTGAGAAGAAGTCTTACCTTTTTTTTCGTGAAGACCGTGTGAATAGGAGAAGACGTGGTTAGTTACTGTACAAAGTTTTAAGTCTGTTTTTGTCAATTCTTTTGGCACACGAAGGACTGGACGTTGAAAATGACATGATGAAACCTTGTGAACTCTCCGAGTTTTATCTTGTATAGTTGCAGAAATTGGACCGTCAGTATCTGCAAAGTGTTATGCTGTATGCTGAGACTTTTTATAAAAGTAATATTGTAAATCGTACCTTTCTTTTATACAAAATAAATCAAATGCTTTATTTGACACTGGTCTGTTATGCTTGTGTAAAAATGTCAATCTGTCAGTGTTGTGCTGTATATTGACCTTGCCTTTTATATCCAGGATTCAAAAGCAGTCACTGACCCTTCACACGTGCACATTCACCCACACTGATTGGAACCTGAATCAATCTTTTACATTGCCATATGGCTGTGTACAAATGCATTAATTTCAGTCCATAGCTTTTTCTTAATATATATATATAACTGTCCACATCATACAGCCTATCAGTTTTTCTTGCAATTGACCTCTTTCTCTCTTCCTGTGTGGTGGAAGTTTGAACATTAATTGTGATCGTATCCACGGGTTCTCTCATTAGTATAATCTGTGTGTGGATGAAATGGCAGTTAAATCAATGCTTGAGCTTTTGATTTGTGGAATTCGGTTTGTAAAATAATTGACTGTAGGTTTACAGTCGGCCCCTTAATGAGCACAAAAGAATAAATCAGAGACCTGGATGGTGATTTAAACTATAATCAATTTTTTACAGCTTCAGCTAATTATTCAGAACTGTACACCAAATGCCCTGGACTAAAGTTTTGTGAATAAAGCGGATCAATTTTCAATGTTAGCATATTAGACATTAAAAATAGATTAATTTATAGTGTAGTAAGTGACGCACGCACACATTTGAAGGAAGTCATTTTGTAGGATGTAATTCAGGAAAACTATTTAACTACAGGAAGAAAAAGAAAAAAAGAAAATAGTGGTATGTGCTCTTCTTTATTTCATACATTTCCGCAACGTGTACATATAAAAATTAAAGGCTGAATCTCAAATGCAGCCAAAACCTCTTATTAGTGTTGTTGATATGAAGAGTGCGCCACCTGCTGGCAGCCAGACTTCACCTCAGAAAAACGATGATAGTTTTCAGTTTCATTATTTATGGGGAAAATGATTGGCAGTTGGCAAGTCTCATCAAAATACACAAATGTATGCGATTTTAAAATAAAAGTTTTTAAATTTTATGATTTTAGTGTGCAATCCATCAGCACACACTCACAAACGAAGCCTACGTTTAGTAGAGATTAACTTCAAATGTGTCCGATTTTTATTTTCAAATATAATAATGCATTATTTCAATTATAAAATCAGGAATTCTCAAAAGATCTGAAAAGAATTAACTTTATTAATGTGAGAAAACACTGAAGATACTCATTACTCGCACACAAATCACTTACAGAAACCTCTATTATTTCTTGTTTTTCTCTTGACACTGATCACAATAGATTCAACTCATCTAAAACACTACAAGGCAAAATTCAAACAACAAGGATGACCTGAATGTGAACCTGGCATTCAATCACAAATAAATAACAGCTTTCACATCACTGATCACAGCAAAAACACCAGCACTAACTCTATATGATTAAATCCCCACTCTACTTGATGGATTTCAATATTGTGGACCAATCTACACTAGATCTTTAATGTTAGCAACGGAGCATGAAATAACAGGATTTGCACTAAACAAATCAGAAACTACGAACATCTTCACAGCCTCCATTTATTGCTTTTTTAGCACCACTCCAAAAATAGCAACAATGACAGTTCTCACACTTTTACACTGCATCTTCTTAATATTTAGATTTTGTTTTCCAGTTAAAAAAATCTAAATGTCCTTAAAACAAGATTGTGTAATATGACTTTTTTTTTCTCGGTATCACTAAAATAAGCTTAAATTTTTTACCATTAATCAGTACATTAGGTATAATAAACTAACACTGAATGACATTTTTAACATTTTAAAATATTTTCATGAAATTATTGTTCATTTATAATACGTTAATGTTAATTTATGCAACTTGAAAGTTAAAAATGCATATGCAAAAATTAACATTAACCTAAATTAATAAAGCTGTAAACGTATTTTTCATTGTGTTACCTAATGAATTTACTGATGTTAATGAATTGTACTTAAGTGTACACTTTTAAGTGTAAACCATACATTTTAGGTTTTATATTATATATTATAGGTTTTATAAATGTTATACTTAAATGATTTTATAACTTATTTTATTTGACTAATCATCGATTACTTGTTTTATGGACCTTTAAATATCTTTCACGCAAAACTAGCCAAAAATACTGATTAAGAAACTGCAGTGAAGGGTGATTTTTAGATCGTGTTCATTATAAAAACAAACCTAATCAGAGTCAACACAGATAATGTGCAGTAATGATGCCTGAATGAAGAGTTTCTATGAATCTTTGCAGTTGTTAGAATTTTTTTTACAGTAAGTTAGTAAGAAACCTTGTTAGGCTCACAGGACACTCTCTCGTTCCTCAGCAGCGTCGGTGGCGGGACCAGTGGACCTCTTCCGGTGACCTCCACGCAGGTTCTGGTTGGGCAGCGTGGTGGTTTCGCTGCTGGATCCTGGTCGTATAATGATGGAGGGGCAGTCAGTTGAGTCGGGCGTCGCCTGCTGGGTGCTGTTGTTGATGTTGTTGTTGAGCGCAGTGTTGTCGGGTGAGCAGTTGAGGTTGCTCACTGCTGACGTGGGCCAGCTCTCCTCAGGGCTACTGCTGTCAGATGGAGCGTCGGAGCAAATGGACATCCGGGCCACGGCCTCATCCTGAAGGTTACTCAGCTTGTGTGGTAAGACTCGCTTCTTAACCGGACTCTCAAGAACCAGCTCGATCAGATGGGCCTCCTCTTCTTTCTTCTCACCGGACTTCTCCTCCTTCTCCTGAGCTGCTTCGCTCTCCTCGTCTTGCAGCGAGTGGTCGGATGAGCTCCTGCTGGACCTCACTCCAGAATCGGATGATTTCTTGTCCAGCATGATGTCTGAGATGAAGCTCTTCCCTTTAGCTAAGAGGCTTAGATCTGGTTCAGAAGCCCAGGGTTCTTCTCTCAGCAGCGGGGTGGCGTCTGTCTCCTCCTCACCTGAATCTTCTTCATCGCTCGGTATGCTGTGGTAAGACGGTCCCTGTCCTTTGGTCTTGCGTCTGGGTGGGATTTTAGCGGCGGACCCATGTTCTGACTTCTCATCCTCCTCTGTAATGGGATCTAGAAGAGCACCGTCTGGGACGGAGGAGAAGTCCACTATAGTGTCTGCAGGTTTGGAGCTCTTTTTGACGAAGGGTTTGCGCCCGTCTTGCTCACCTTCCTTAGTCTTCTCCTCAGAGCTGGCTGTGAGCAGGGCTTGAGCGGGACTCTCTCGTCCAGCAGCAGATATCTCCAGCTGGGACATGTGAGAGATGTATTCCTGGTAAGCATTGCGATACTCAGCTTGCTGCTTGTCGGTCAGCTTGCAGATGTCATTGGATGATTCCTGAGAGTTCAGACTGGATATGCTTGGCGTCCGGTGAGTGTTGGCCTAAAGGAGAAGATCAGGTCAATTAATTGAGACAATAGCATGAGAGAGAACCTGTTAGGTGATGTGGTAGCAAACACACAAAGCATTTCAAGCAAGAGTTTATCCAAACCCTCCAGCAGCAGTAACTGGTTGACACGCCAACATAGTAGGTGATGATAGGTTGTTCAATGAATTTTAAAACGAGTTTTCAAATAGGATTCCACACAAATGGAAATTTTGCCTGAGGGCAAAAGATTTTCCCATGTAGATTTTGCATTGAGTTCAGTTGGTCCTGTGAATTTGCTGCATTGACCAACAGAAAGCTGTTTGTTTGAAAGTGATTTTTGTGTTACCTGTGCTTCATAAATTGCTACACTATTGGCAAGTGGACGCAGTTGTAGCTACTACTGCTATACCAAATCATGTCAGATGATTGGTTTTTGGGGATTCTGTAAAAATATGCAGGGTCTTAAACACCCCAGTCTACAGGAAGTGCTAATCAACAGTAAGTTATTTGGGTCCCACATATTAGGTGGCCTTAACTACTATGTACTTACATTTAAGTTAATCATTTGATACAATGCACTTATTGTGTACATCCATGTTTTTACATTGTACTTATATTTAAAAAAATACCTGCATGTAATTATATCTGTAATTGCATTTATAATTACACTGTTGACCCATCCCTTACACTTTAAACCACTCTTAAACCTACCCATACCACCAAACCTGTCCCTAACCTTACCTGTATCCCACCTCAATAGCAGCAAAAGTGTTTTACAATACAATATGAACAAAATAAGTACATTGTACTTATTTTTTATGTAAGTGCATAGTAGTTAAGGCCACTTAATATAAAGTGGGACTGTTAACTCACTCCTCCTCCCTACGATCATATTTTAAGTTTGATTCATTGTTCAAAATGGAAAGGAGAGAGTTGACATAGCATTATTTACTTATTAATTCAAAATATCTGTAGATATCATGCTAACATTATCAGGAATTCGTCTAACCACAATAAACATGCAGTGAAAATCAGCCCTAGTCTATTTGATTTAGTTTCACAAGTTCTTGATTCAATTTGATCTAATTTTGATTCATTGCAGTGTATTTCAGTTCTTCAGGCTGATTCAAACAGATTCAAATTTTTGAACTATTCATTAAAAGCAGCAGCTTATTAGAGTCTTTTTTTTTTGTGTGAATCAGACTACAAAGATCACATTGTATGTTTGTTTTTGCATGCAGCCCATGAGGTCAACTAAACAGAAAGATTATTTCATGGTACACAGTCTTATTTCAACGCAATTCAATTCACTAAAAAAACGATCTAGGGATTTAAAGGGGTCCTATTATGCTTTTTCACTTTTTTAATTTTAGTCAGTGTGTAGTGTGTATGTTTGGGCATGAAAAAAGATCTAGAAAGTTACAAATCTCAAAGTCCACTCCAAAGGGAGATATTTCGTTTTTTTAAAAATCCCTTTTCAAGAACTACAACGAACGGCTCGTTTGGACTACAGCGTTTGTTTTCCGGGCTTTGTGATATCACAAAGCTGCTCATTAGAATATCATTACAAATAATTCCCGCCTACAGAAATTCGAATGGTTGGAATCAAGACTTTGTAAAAGAGCATAATAGGACCCCTTTAAAGAAATAATCAATTTAACACTTAATTTTTGCTTCCAGATGTTCAAACTTAGCATGTTTATTCAAGAATGTATTCATTCAAGACATATGACAATCATATGGCTTCAGAAGACTTGGAATAAGTATCTCGGTGTGTTCCATGAGAAGTTATATAGGGTTCCAGAAACACGACAGTGAGTTTGAGGCAACTATCCCCCTTCAGTTGTGTTCCATATTCATCTATGAATTTTAGAAGGCTAACATCTCAAATGGAACACTCTTTTACTACATAGAACCATTCACATTTGAGTCGCAGATAGCTTTTGCACATTTAGCCCCTCCCCTTCCTGTACATCCACACTCCGTCTTTTCTTTTGAAGTAGTACATCATTCGGCTACTCATAATATACTACACCTCACTGCATTTTTCAGTGTGAACACACTACTTAGGCTACAAAATGGTGCAAAAATAGCGCAGAGGTATGTGAAATGAGACCCACCCAAAGTCTGTTCACCACCAACTTTCATGATGCTAATCTAAACCATTATGAGCTCTTGCTTGTGTTGCAACACCTTGCCAGGTGTTAACAGATGAGTGCAGAAATAGCTATCTCTTTGTGATAGAGAGCTAGCGTGTGTGTGTGTGTGTGTGTGTGTGTGTGTGTGGTCAGCTCTTCACTTCCTCTGCCCATCCAGGTCAGAAAACACTTCGTTTGTCACCCAGTAAACCACATGCTATTTTCATGCTGATGAGAGACTACTAAAAAGGAGAAGCTGCCTCTAAAGCAAAAAAATACAACGGTCAAGAAAAGGTTTGGCTAAAAAGGCATGTTTTCTTTGTCTCCACGCATGCATATGTTTGTGTTCGCTTCTATGTATATAATTACACCGTTTTGTCATGGTGTGCACCAGTGTTTCTCTATAGGCTGTACTTCAGTGCTGAATGTGTTTGTGTGCACAGCAGTACCACGCACCAGCCAGTGGGCATTGTGTTGTCTGGCGGGCTCCTCCAGCCCCACACCACTGAGCTCTTCAAAGCTTAGGTTGAGGCTGTACGTGAAGTTTTCTGGGTTGATTGCCATGTCTTGTGGCGCTTCAGAGGGTCTGTGGGGTTTGAGTTGAGTCAACACGCTGCTGCCCTGCTCGCTGCACGCTCCAGATTCATCACGCAGCAGCTGGTTCTCCACATGACGCTGCTCTAGAACCTACAGCACAAATACAGCAATGTTTAAATGCATTCAACAGCAACAGTGAATTTTATTCATTATAGTGGCAATGAGTTGAATGAACAAACGGACAGACTGAAACTGTATTCTTTTTTTTTTTTGTTAACAACTGTTTATTGAATTTTCTTTGAGATGCACCTGTATGTATGTATGTGTATATATATATATACACACACACATACATACATGTATATATATATATATATATAAAATTAAATAAAAAATGTATATAAAAAAATAAATAGTAATAATAAAAATAAATGAATTAATAATAATAGATAAATAAATAGCAGTAAAATCATTTTTTACAAAGATTTTTGAAAAGCTGACACAACATTAAAAGCTGAATGTTGTATTCCTGTATTCTTAACTTCTAAAACGCAAATAGTATTAAAACTATTCAGAAAAAGATACACTACCATTTAAAGGTTTGGGGCCGGTAATTTTAAATGTTTTGAAAGAAGTGCTCACCTAGGCTGTATTCATTTGATCGAAAATGCAGTAAAAACTAATATTGTAAAATAGTTTAGTATTCTAACATATTTTAAAATGTAATTTATGCATGTGATGGAAAAGCTGAATTTTCAGCATCCATTACTTCCGTTTTTAGTGTCACATGATCCCTCAGAGATCATTCTAATATATTGATTTGGTTCTCAAGAAACATTTCTTATAATTATCAATGTTGAAACAGTTGTGCTGATTAATATCATTGTGGAAATTGTGATACATTTTTTAAAGATTCTTTGATTAATACAAAATTCAATAGAACAGTATTTATTTGAATTAGAAATATTTTATAACATTATAAATGTCTTTACTGCCACTTCTGAATTTAATGCATCCCTGCTGAATAAAAGTATTAATTAAAAAAAAAGAAAGAAAGAAAACAATCTTACTGACCCCAAACTTTTCAACTATAGTCTTTGCAATATTATTATAATATTATGAAATGAATGGAATAAGTATGTCTAAATACTTGGGTGTCAATGATCGTCTTCAGGACCATTTCCAAGTCAGCAGTCTTCCCCATTATTGTGGTTTCAAAGAACAAGAGATACCCAGGATTTATACTGTAGGGCTGGTCATTTAATGAAACACAAATGTAAATATTTTAATATTTCGAGATACTGGATTTTTGACTTTCATGAGCTGTAAGCTCTAGTCATCAAAATTAAAAAAAAAAACTTTTGAAATGTTTTACTTTACATGTAATGAATGTAGAATATATGAAAGTTTCACTTTTTGAAATAAGTTACAAAAAAAAAAGAAAAAAAAAAACTTTTTCACGATATTCTAATTTTTTTAGATGCACCTGTATGAAGAGTTCAGATGCAAAAGCCTCCAAGTGCCGTATGAAATGAGCATTTTTATCAGGCTCCTAATTTATGTTCAGTTATTTCAATTTAATTGCACAGAAAAGGACCTATACACTGCCATTTTATCGAGATATTTAATGTTAGTTCAGATAAAATAAAATAGCAATAAACAAATAAATACAAAACAATACAATAGAAATCACAGACAAATCCATTTTTCTGAAGACCCCTGAATTAGCCGAAACCAGTGTTTTTCCCAAGGTTCACACCAGACATGTTCGATTCAGGTGGGATTAAAACAGAAAAGAAAATGTTTGTGAAACACGAATCTTACCTGACCTCCTCAGAGAAAACAAGGCTTTTAATTTTAAGCAACTTAGATACCAGACCAATAAATAAATAAGTAAAAATGCCACGTTTCACTGTGGCATTTATGTGAAGCTTCTGAGGCACACCAGTATCACAACTAGCCCCCGAGTCATTCCATTTTGACTTGTTTTCAGCCCAAAGAATGCTACTTTCTTGTAAACGTCAAGCTATTCAGATCTTCAAGTGGACACTGAGCTCCCACTGACAATAACCCTCCTTCATCCAGAAAGCAGCCATCTTGGACCAGATGGCTGCCTGCTTGCTGGCAACACAACATTCGTTTGTATAAGCGCAAATGGAAATCTGATCAACACAGCTACATGTGTTCCTTATTTCAACCCAATCCAGCCTTCTTCACTATAGAGAAATTAGCTGTGTGCTAAACATTACAAACCACAAACAGAAAGATGACCATTATCTGAACGTGTAGGAACGAACAGAAGATCACACATCAGCTGATGTCTTACCATGGACCTGAAGAGATGCCAGTCTCCAAAGTTCATGTTCATTTCCTTCTTGAGCTCATCAAGGTTGCATTGAGACAGAACCCGGCCGTTCACGTTGGCCTACATTTAGGATGACAGAATTTGACATGAGAACATTATGGCATTCAACAGCTAACAAATTTGAGATCAATTTCATCTCGGCAGTATGTCAAAGGTTGAAAACAAAGTTCACAATTGAAATTGTGAAGTATGCAGGCAGATGCGGCACAGCTGGCAGGTTGACTAATGCATGTCTAATGAAGACATTAGAAATGTCATGGCTTCCTTCAGATGTTGTCCAATGGAAAGAAAGGCCTCATTGTGAAACCTCTGTATGCACCACATGGAGCTGATAAAACTGCTCTTTTCCAATGGATGAACATGTATTTACATGGATGGACTCATTTACCACACCCCATGTCTCAGTCCTGTTTTTCACTTTTTGTGTAGAAATTGGTGTATTTCCATGAAAAAAATAGGTATAAGACTAAGAGAAGATACTTTCAGAAGATAAAATATTACATGAGCTGCTTTATTTTCTATTCAATTTATATATTGTTGTTTGTCAGTTCTGTTACCAAAATATGTTCAAACGCAGTTCAAAACCCATTGTTTGTTTTTTATCTTCTAGCAATAAACAACTGTAAAACAGAAGAATGAAACAGAAAACAGTAAAAAAAAGAAAAAAAAAAGAAAATAAATTAGAAATTACTTTGCTAGTTTGTGCCAAATTTTGATTTATAGTTAGTTTGGCATCAACAAGATTTTTTTTTATTTATTTTTTTAAAGAAATTAATGCTTTTATTTTGCAAGGATGCTTTAAATTGATCAAACATGGCAGCAAACACTTTAACATTATTACAAAAAAAAAGTATTCTAAAAAAACGTATCACTGTTATCACAAAAATATTAAGCAGCACATCCTTTGTCAGCATCGATAATAATAATGTATGTTGAGTGGCAAATCAGCATATTACACTGATCTGAAGGATCAATCAATTATTTTAAACTGTTTTATAATTAATTATTTTTATTTTAAACTTTTAAACTGTAAACTTTACTATATTTTGATCAAATAAATGCAGACTACAACATTTTTTTTTTTACTTTTTTCTATACATTAAAGTAAAAAATATTTGTTATAATTTTCTTACAATAATTTAGGTAACAGCGCTGAAGGCTGAGCTTGACAAATACTACAATTTGTTGTAAACAATGAGAAAATGATATAATAATCTTATTTCCTTGGTATTATAATTTTAGTGTCATATTTTTTTTTTTATAATAAGGATAGAAAATACAATAACAAAGCTGACAGATAAAATAACATTTTTGCTCATTAAAATTTTTACTAGTTTAATTAGTAAAATTATTTCAATTAATAAATTAATAGTTACAAATTTGTGTTACTGTAGTGAATTTAATATAATTTCAACAGATTGTTAAAATTGTATTATGATTATATTATGATTTAATTCCTAATTTAGGGTGGAGGGGATATAGAGATCAGATATGCTTAAAATTAGCTACGTACAGTTGAGGTCAAACGTTTACATCCCCTTTCAGAATCTGCAAAAATGTTAATTATTTTACCAAAATAAGAGGGATCATATAAAATGCATGTTATTGTTTATTTAGTACTGACCTGAATAAGATATTTCACATAAAAAATTTTTTACATATAGTCCACAAGAGAAAATAATAGATGAATTTATAAAAATTACCCCGTTCAAAAGTTTATCCCCGTTTAAAAGTACATCCCATTGATTCTTAATTCTGTGTTGTTACCTGAATAATCCACAGCTGTGTGTGTTTTTTTTTTTTTTGTTTAGTGATAGTTGTTCACAAGTCCCTTGCTCGTCCTGAACAGTAAAACTGCCTGCTGTTCTTCAGAAAAATCCTTCAGATCCCACAAATTCTTTGGTTTTCCAGCATTTTTGTGTATTTGAACCCTTTCCAACAGTGACTGTATGATTTTGAGATCCATCTTTTCACACTGAGGAGAACTGACGGACTCGTATGCAACTATTACAGAAGGTTCAAACGCTCACTGATGCTCAAGAAAAACCATGCATTAAGAGCCGGGGGGTGAAAACTTTTGAACAGAATGGAGATGTGTACATTTTTCTTATTTTGCCTAAATATCTTCTTTTTTTTTTTCATTTAGTACTGCCCTTCAGAGGCTACAGAAGATAGTTACATTATGTTTCCTAGAAGACAAAATAAGTTAAATTTACCCTGATCTTCAAATTCAACTCTTAATGTGGATCACAGTATTAAGAATCAAGTAAACTTTTGAACGGGGTCATTTTTATAAATTCAACTATTATTTTCTCTTGTGGACTATATGTAAACATCTTTTATGTGAAATATCTTATTCAGGTCATGTTGGTAAAATAATTAACATTTTGCAGATTCTGAAAGGGGATGTAAACTTTTGACCTCAACTGTATTAGCTACTTCATATGTTATATTTGTTAGATAATACTTTTTCACACATATTTCACAGTTGTCATAAAAACCCATTAGATTTGCACCTCAAATGCTTTAAAGAAGCAATAGGACAACAAAGTGTACTGTGAAAGCGAACAGTAAAATCACATGCCAAACCTTTAAATGGACTGCATGCTTTTCAATGGAACTTCCAGGACACTTCTCCAGAACATACCTTTTTGATTGTGCCGATATACTGCTCCAGCATGCTGGAGTCCAGGCCCTGGATCTGTCTGAGCTTCTCACATACGCTATCGATGCTCAGAGAACTGAGGAGGACCTGAGATCCACTAGAAACCACAGAACCAGAGCCCTACACACACATACAGTAACTAGTTACTCATTCCATCAGTTCATAATGCATTCTGGAATAGCAAGGCATGAGGCACTGTCAAAGCCATGTGAGGCAAAAGCAGTACAATTCAAGAAAAAGCAAGGCAGTAATTCAATGTCATTACAGAATAAGGAACTCTGAGCAGTTATGGGTGAAGGAACAATACATGATACATGATGGAAATTTCTGTCTGTTGAAGTCATGTATGGGAGCTATCATTACAAGATTTGCGGAGAGTAAAATGCATGTTTAATGTAAAATGCTAATGTGTAGGTGTCAAGTGTAGACAGCCACAAGATCTTTAAATTGGTCTGAATTGTCAGTGGTGACCCAGTTTGTTTTGCTGTAATGGTTGATCTTTGTCATGTGCACTGATCTCATTAGACCCTTCTAGTATGACGTACACTCTTAAAAATAAAAGCTTCCAAAAAAGTTGGGTTTTGCAGTAATTCCACAGAAGAGCCATTCTGGTTTGGCCTTTCAGTGAACAGTTCTTAAAGGATCCATTTTCAATTACTGTGAAGAACATTTTAATAATCTAAAGAACCTTTTCTACTGTAAAGAACCTTTTGTGGAATGAAAAGGTTCCATGGATGGTAAATGTTCATTGTGGAACCAGTGATGCCAATAAAGAACCTTTATTTTTAAGAGTGTTCCACAACAAGTTATTTATAGTGGAAAGAAGGTCTCTTTCTTTCTTTCTTTCTTTCTTTCTTTCTTTCCTTATTATTCTTCACCCTAATGTTCTATTAAGAACAGTTCACTGAAAGGTTCTTTGTGGAACACAAAATGGTTCTTCTATGGCATCGCTGCGAAAACCACTTTTTGGAACCTTTATTTTGGTTCTTTATGGAATCATAGATGCCATAATTATTATTTTTATTGTGCTCAGTCCACTTTAATAATACTATAATGTAATGCAACAATCATATATTAATAATATAATTGGAAATTAGTTATTATATTAGTTTACTTCTCATGAAGTTGCTCACTTTAATAATTTGAGGCCATAGTTAATTTAATAAATGACTCCGCATTAACATTATACAAGCACGTTGGTAACACTTTATTTTAAGGACTAATTCTCACTATTAACTAGTTGCTTATTAGCATGCATATTACTAGCATATTGGCTGTTAATTTCTTTTTCTGCATGACTATATTTTAGATCCCTTATCCTACCCCATACCTAAACTTAACAACTACTTTACCAACAGTTATCGTTTATCGAGGCAAAATCGCAGTTAATAGTTAATACTGAGAATTGGTCTCCAAAATTAAGTGTGACCGGTGTGTTCTTCATATGATGATGACTGGGCCTTTTATCTATATCTAGGTCAGTCTGCTTGGGAAACAACTACTGTGATGAGCAGTCAAAAAATATAAAATATGTCCATGATTCTTTGTTCAAAAATGAGTGGTGTGGATTCTCAGCCAAGCTTGACACCAGTTGTTTTCACCTAAAATATTTGTAAGTCCTATTCATCAGCAGCAAGCATGTTTAATAAGAAAAAATACAAGAAATAAAGGTAAATTAGTGCCTTGAGAGCGAATTGGATGAAACTGCAGAAAACTGTAAAAGAATCAGCCAACCAGGAGACTATAGTCCCGGCTAATATTCCCCAGTTCTCTAAAAACTCATTTGCATTCAGATTCAAACAAGAGGCCGTCAAAATTAAACTTGAAACACTGGTCTGAATATATATAATGGAGAATAAAGTTGACAAATTTTAGTTTAACAACAGCTTAAATTTCCATCTGTTCCTCACATTAAATTATCATATGGCTTCAGAGGACTTAAAATATAGTGGACAGCCTGTGATGTTCGGTTGTACACATACTTTTGGCCACAGTGTATCTGAACAGAAATTTCACAATGACAGAACTGGCTGTTCATTTTGTTCTGGTTTTAAATGAAACAAGCCAAAATGAGCAGAAGCCCTGAAAATAACACAGTTAATATGAGAAAATTGAAGGGTTTAAATGTTTGTACCTGCTTCATTCTGAAGGGCTGCGATTTTATCTGGGATCGAGAAAAGGAGAGAGGACGAGAGGAAAGGAGGGATTAGGTCACATGCTTCAATCAGCAATCAATCAAATGTACACACAATAACATTATCTATGACAGATGCTTGTCTCATAGCATCCAACCTGCATGGATTTCACAGTAATGATTTTAACAAGCCAATCGAACAGAGAACTTCAGATGCGGTGAATCAAAAGAACAACATTTTGGAGAAAGGATGGACTAGCAAGGAGTTTTGAACAGAAAAGATACATAAAAGGAGAATAGGAGAAACTTTTCAGGACTCCATGCCGAGAAGAAGTTGTTTAATTCCAAAATGGGCGAGTGTTCGAGCCGGGCGATAAAGAGTGTAATTAGCGTGAGGGGCCAGGGAGGAGGAAACAGATGAGCGGCCTCATTCAGCGCGTCGTCCCAGCACTGCTGATGCTAATCCAGCCAGCCTCAGATAGCAGCAGCCTTTCACACCACGCAGAACAAAGCAGCGATGGGGGGACAGACCAGAGAGCGGATCAAATGACTGAGGCATGAAAGAGCAAAACAACAGGGCTGAAGGAAGGAGGGCAGAATATGAGGAGAGAAACTTGACTCAAGCAATGACAATGGGGAAGAAGGACAGAGGTGCAGGAAAGGAGAATATGCTGGAGGAGCTGAGAGATGTGTAAATAGATGGTTTTAGGGATGATAAGTCAGTGAGCATCAGTAATAGTCTAATCTGACATAATTATGATTTCAATTTCAGTATCAGATATTTGGCCATTTTAGAGATTAGTGGCATCAGAAGATAGCTGTGGCCAGTTTGGCAACAGAAACATCATTCCAACAGCCCACAGACTAAGGATATTGCACATTTTCCATTTGTATTGTATTTAATTAAATTGATATATTGTTTAAAAGAAATGTTCATTTGATTCAGAAATTTAGTTTGGAGTCATTAAAATTACACTATTGTTCAAAAGTTGGGGTGGTAAGATTTTTGAATGTTTTTGAATTAAAGAAGTCACTTATGCTATAAATGGCTGTATTTATTTGATCAGAAATGCAGTAAAAAAATAAATATTGTGAAATATTATTTCCCCTTTCAGTTTTAATGCATTTAAAATGTAGTTTATTCCTGTGATAGCAAAGCTGAAATTTCAGCAGTCGTTACTCCAGTCTTCAGTGTCACATGATCCTTCAGAAATCATTCTAATATACTGATTTGGTGATCAAGAAACATTTCTTATCATTGTCAATGTTGACAAGCAGTTGTGCTGCTTAATATTTTTGTGTAAAATATTTTTTTTTCAGGATTCTTTGATGAACAGAAAAGATGATGAAAAGATGAACAGATTTTGAAAAGACGTGAGATTTAAAATTCCATTTAAATCTAGAAAAAAATAATAATAATGA